TAGACTTTCTCTTCTCTGCTTAAGATCATTCCCATTGCTCTTCAATTCCAACGTTCTCACTTGAACTTTCAGGATCTAACTCCTGCCTTCTTCTCTAGCCTCATCTCTAGATGTCTCCCTTTCCTCCCTTCCCTTGAACCTTCTAGAATTTTATTTTTTAAACAGTGATCCCCAGACTTTAAGGTGTCATATACCAACAGGTTTTGTTGTGTTGATTTTTCAAAAAGAGTCATTAAGAAATACCATCTACTATCACCATCATTTCATAAAAGAAGGGTCATTTTAATGCCAGAAAATAAGATGGTTATAAACTCAGTCATTCAAGTTGAATGACTTTTACTTTGAAAAGACCTTACACTGCTCTCATTTCTCCACTGATGAGTGAGAATTTCACTGTGGGCCATCAAATATCTGAGGACCTTTGTATGGGCAACCACTGCTGTAGAATAGACCATGCTCTATTTTAACCTCAGGGTCTTTGCATTTCCTTCTCTCATCTGGAACTCTCTTTCCACTTCTTCTGCACCCTTTCACCTGATCAAATCCCTCTTACCCTATAGGTCTCAGCTGAGACCTATAGGGTTCCTCTAGGATGGGAAGCCTAAGCACAGAACTTGTCATGCTATATTACAGCTGCCTGTGTTCCCTGCTGTCTTCCCACTAGACTATAAGCTCTATGAGCGCAGGTTCTATCTTTGTTTTGTTTTCTAGTGCTTTCTCAGGGCCAAACACATTCCCTAGAGCATGGAGTTCAATAATTATTTGTTGAAATACATTGAATAAGTGACAAAAATAATCAGTGACATCATGGTGAAATAATAGTTTTAAATTTCTGAGTGAGTTATGTATTCTTATAATGTAATTATTTAATGTTATTTTTCTTAGATTTTAATAGTGTATTTTTCTTATATTTATTTTTACTTTGTTACTATATTCTTTCAACAGTAATATCTCACTGGTCTGTAAAGTTTTCAAGTTGTATTTAGCTTTAGTTACCTTTGAAAGATAAATAAGTATGAAAAAATTGTACAATTAGGGCTATAATTTTAACTTCTTGTATTCCCTAGAGGACATTTTTATATGTAAATTAAACTGTAATGTATTTATCTTTAATTGTAAGATCTTGTATACAAGATTTTATTATTCTTGTGTTGTACCCTTAGATGTGGTTAAATGTATTGTTACCTAAAAATATTACTCTAATAAAAAATCATATTGAGGTTATAAGTCCGTTTTATGATACTTCATATATTAAACTTTTGCTCACTAAAGCTTTGACATTTTATTTGATATATATTTGTATAGATAATATTCAAAAAATACTTGGATATAAAGATATTAATTAACTGCACATGCTATGGGTTTTAAAAGTGGGTTTTTTGGCATTTATGAAGCAAGAGAAAAATGCGTCTTATGAAAAAGAAGCAATTGCTGTATGTAAATCAGATTTGATCTTTTGCTCACCATATTTTGGGTTTTTCTAGCAGTGTATTTGTTTTTGAGATGGCTGGATGGAAAAAGGAATTAATTTCCATCTCATTAGGACTCTGTTTCTTCTAGAGTATGTCACTTTATCCGGGAAAGGGTAACAGCTGCTCCTACCCAGTCAGCATTAGAAGAAGCCAAACATTCTATAGTGGAGCCTGTCTAACCACTGTGGAATCAACATGGCAGAGTTTGGATGCCATCTTCCCCCATGTTGCCAAGATGTCTGTGACTGTTTTAGTCCCTGTGGATTTTGTTTTGTATCACACAGAGAGTCCGGGTGGAAAAAAGCCGATCTGAACTCTCATTAAACATGTTTTATCTTTCCATAGGCCATCATTAAATAGGATCTCTATTTCTGGCTAAAGATAATTTTAAGAAGGACAATGAAACCAAGTGCCTCCTGAAAAATATGATTTAATCACGTTAATTAGCCACAGAACATGCTTCCCGGTAATAGGGTGTCAGTGCAGAAGATGTGAAAACGATTGTATTAATGTGCAGCAAATATTCATAGGTAACGCCGCCTTTAATGCAGGCTTTTGAACAACCAGAAACTTTGGGACAGACAGCACGGAAACTCTAACACGATGGAGTATCTTATGACACAGAGAACATATGTATGTAAGCCTTTCTCTTGTCACTGACCTTTTACCAGAAATTCCTATGCAAATTTTGGTTTCAAGTTTCATACTCTTATGTATATAGTCACCTTCCAATCAGAAATTACGTAGGAATATAAAAATTATAAGCTGCTTCAGCAACATGAATGCAGCTGGAGGAGGTCATAATCCTACAAAAATTAATGCAGGAACAGAAACCAAGTACCACATGTTCTCACCTATAAGCGGAAGCTAAACATTGAGTACACATGGACATAAAGATGGGAACAATAGATACTGTGGACTACTACATAGAGCAAGGTGGGGAGGAAGAGAGAGGAGGGAGGGGGAAAGGGAGAGGGA